ACGACTGTATAACGCACGTCCTCCTAATGAAGTGGCTATCGGTCCTGACGTTGACTATAAAACACATTCTAACAGTAATTATCTTCAGCTAACAGAACCAATTAGACGACAAATATCTGCACTTTTCTCCCATATATTCGAAAATAACGCAGTTCAGTTGGCCATTGCTCGAAGTTACGACAGACAGGTAGCGTTGTTTGCCAAAACTGCACATTTTATGTAAACGACTCATCCCTGAAATTGAAAATGAACTATTTTCGGCATTACGATAAGGTGTTGGCTATTTTCATCGAGGAAATTTTCCTGTTGCGAAATACCCACAGATTTCCAGCATAGCCCGTTCGGAGAACTTAATAGCATAGGAGATTTTTTCCAGACTGATACTTGGTCCTGTGGATATCGTTCTATTGCTTGTATGGTGGATCTTGCAAGGCAGCGCAATCCTTGCGAGTAAGTTTCATATCGATACTTTTTTGGATTACGGTTTTGCACCGTTAGTTTTGGGAACTTTGATTTGAAAGATTTTATTTGCTTCAAACTGTTGAGTTGCAAAATCACTTTTCCGCATATATTCGCGCCGTTCACATTTCTGCGAGCACCTTTTGTTCACTTGGCTCAGTTCCGTGTGGAACTTAAAACATTGTGGAACTTTGTGGAACTGAACTTTGGAGAACGTCAGATTCGAAACCATGTCTATCTCGCAGCCATCCATGATTGTAACCATCTGATAATTTATGATTGAACTTCCTATTATAGAACGGATTACTGCATGAAAAGCATATTTGACTTTTTCTTAAAAGTGATAAGCGAACCAAAAGTAGAATGGGAAGTCTTTGAATCAGCATATTTTGGAAAGTAAGCATAAATGACAGGCGGGGAAAATCTCCTGTACTTATTTGATTGAGGCACCGTACAATCGGGGAAAATTCTGTTACTTGCGTTCGCCTTTATCCGGATCTAGCATTCGAGGAGTTCACTCAATCTCCAGATCTCTCAAGAGCCGTTAACGAGTCTAGAATAGGTAAGCAAAGCGATTGCGCTCTTAGAATGTAACCATCATTTTAGAATTCGAAAATATGAGTATTGCCACTCCAATCTCTACAGGATTGTCGAATCTGGAGACGATCGAGTCGGTATCAGAGCAATCTACGAGGTTGATTTTCTTGTATTACATGACGGCACCAAGTATTTTTGTGAATATTATTTCACATATATTGACTTTGCGCTTACCTTGAACCAGATAATTAGCAAAGTAAATCGGAGTCACCCTTCTGAATGCTGTATAAACACGTTTTCTTGGGTTCTTTAAAAGATGTTATAGTGACCTCCACACTCAATAATTCAAAGGAAGTAGCGTCGTGCATTTCCAGACAACTGAGGGTAGCAAGATTTTATGGGCGCTTCTTTGGTCCGTTCTTACACTTTCGAAATCGATTTCGCATACGACATATTCAGCAAGACTTGTGAACATCTCCC